GGAAAGGGTGTATTTGTCTCCAGGAACACAAACTGCTTCCATTTCCAGGGTGCTGTTTGCTGATGTAGTTGTGAGCATTCCCTCTGAGGTAGTGGGAGGCTCTGCTCCCTGCTGCATGTCATCAGACCTTGGATTCGGAGCTGTCCTGCTGTGCTGCAGCTGGGACCTGCTGCAGGACCCATCTCTCTTGACATGTCCACCAGGTCCTAGCAGCATGTCCAGCTGAAGCCTCCACCACACTGCTCACTCCAAGGGGACCTTCCAGCTGCTGGGGGCTTGGCTGTTGCATCCCCTCCCTGGGGGTGTGAAGTTTCATAGAATCATAAAACCATTGAGATTGGAAAAGACCTTCAAGATCATCAAGTCTGACCATCAACCCTACACCCCTGTGACCACTAAACCATCTCCCAAAACACCACATCTACCCATTTTTTAACATCTCCAGGGATGGTGCCTCCACCACCTCCCTGGGCAGCCTGTTCCAAGGCCTCGCCACTCTTTCTGTGAAGAAGGTTTTCCTAATACCCAATCTGGACCTCCCCTGGTGCAACTTGACCCCATTTCTCTTGTCCTATCACTGGTCACTAGGGAGAAGAGCCCAACACTCACCTCACCACAACCTCCTCTCAGGCAGTTGTAGAGGGCAATGAGGTCTGCCCTCAGCCTCCTCTTCTCCAGGCTCCACAGCCCCAGCTCCCTCAGCCCCTCCTCATCAGACCTGTTCTCCAGATCCCTCATCATTCTCATTGCCCTTCTCTGCACCCTTTCCAGCACCTCCATGTCCTGTCCTCTCCTTCCTTTCCTCCACCCTCCATATTCTGAGCAGAAAGCTTCTTGCTGTGCTGTAGCAGCAAAATCACAGAGCCAAACTTGCCAGATGTGGTGCCTGCTACTTCCCATGAGCTTCAGCTGCTCCTGCCCCACTTCATGGTGGGCTTTGCTGTGCCTTGAGCTGTTCCTGGCTCTGGGGAGCAGGAAGGAAGGGCTTGTCTCTGCTTGTTTATGCTTCCAGCAGCCTCTAATCCCTGTCACAGGGTTTCCTTGTGGGAGGACATGTTCTGGGACTATGCCATGTACCTCTCTGCTCTCTTGAGTCTCTTGACTCTCCAGAGTCCTTTGACTCTGGACGGGTGGCTTTGCTGCTTGGCCAGCAGTGTGCTTTGTGCACGGCCAGTTTTGGAACAGTGACTGAAGGCAGAGATCTCCTGGAGGAGATGGCTCTGCTGTCACCTTGGGCTGCTCTCCAGGAGCTGGTGGTGTTCCTGGGTGAGACCCTGAGTCTGTGGGTGTCAGCAAGAAGGTTTATTTGCTCAAGCTTGAGGATCTCATGACTTGGCCAACATTCCCCTGGGCTGTCAGAGTCCTGTTATCTCCGTGGCAAAGAGCTTGGTCTCTCTGACATCTGAGGGCAGCTGGAGTTGAAGCTGAGACCTAGTTTGGAAGCTGCTGCCTAATGCCAATATGCAGAGGAGTGTGGGATGGCTGAGCTGCAGCAGGTCATCCTGCCATTCTCCAGCCCTGGCTCTGCAGAAACTCCTTGTGTCAGGGTGGGGTGATGTTGTGTTGAGGTTTGGTTCTGCCACAGTGAGGACCATGGGGTGGTTGGAGGCAGAGCAGCCAGCCCCACCAGGCTTGTCCTTCCCGGGGGGGGGGGGACTGTGAGACCAGCTCTGGACCCAGGCACAGAGCATCCTCGGGGTGCTCCTGGAGGGCCTCCTGGGAGCATCTGCCTGGATGTTGAAATCTTGTTGCCTTCCACGAGCAAGTTTTGGGCATCCGACCTGCCAGTGGAGCTCATGCTGCTCAGTGTCTGATCCACTGGCAATGGGACGCGAGGGAGGAGCAGGGTCCAGTGCCAGGGCTGGCCTGGCCACTAGTGGGAGCTGTGGGGGTTGCTGACCTGGCCCTTATCTTCCCTGTTTCTCTTCTTAGCTCCTGCACCTCTGCAGCCGAGAAGGAGATGGGAGGTGAGTGACCCGGCCTCTCCTGCTGGCAGGAGATAGTCTGAAGGTCCAGCTCATCTGGGCACTGCAGGCCTGTCGTGGGTCCAGCTCCCACAGCCTCAAAACACAAGCTGGATGATGAACATCTTGATTCTTGCCCAACCCTGCTCCTCTGTGAAGGCTCAGCCCCTGCTCAGGCAGCAGAGCAGGCAGGGCAGCCCTGGGGGCTCTTCGGAGGTCCAAGCTGGAGCCCATCTTCCCTGCACCCATGGCAGGAGCTCCCAGGGAGGCTTGTAGGAGCTTGGCAGGGCTGTGTGGCCCATCTCAATCCTCTTCTATCCCAGGAGCAGAGCAAAGGGAGAAGCAGTACCGAGTCCACCCAGGATTTGGGGATCGCCGCGGTGGGGTCATCAGCGCCCGCACCTACTTCTATGCTGATGAGGCCAAGTGTGACCAGCACATGGAGACTTTCCTCCGCTGCATTGATGCCTCAGGTAAGTGCTCTGTGTTTCCCTTGGGGATTTCAGGGGCCCTGCAGCCCCTGTGTCTCTGGTGCCTCCCTCCAAGTGTCCTGCCTGTTGGGCTAGCTCTGTCTTTGTGGCTCCATCCAGGTGGCAGCTCAGAGGACGGCTTCTCGGCCATCAAGCTGACAGCACTGGGCAGACCTCAGTTCCTGGTGAGTGCCAGGGCTGTGCCCAGGGCAAGGTGGATCACAGCCAGGGCCACTGATGATGTGTCTGGAGGGGCAGATGCTTTGGGGTGCCGGTCTTGCTGCAGTGGCATTTCTACTGATGACAGGGAGGAGTGGGTGCCAACAGGTTGTCCCCTCTGTGGTCCAAGGCTGCCCTGGAAACCCTGCCTCAACTTTTGGGGACACATGAAGAGCTCAGAAGCTTAGAGGTGTCAACATGAGGGTGTGGGGGACCTGTGCTGCTAGGCTTGGTCCCTGCCTGGCCAAGGTCCCCTACTATAAGGTCAGGGTCTGGCTTAGGTTGGGAATGATCCTGCAAAGCCTCCACTGCAGGAGACTCCAAGCTGTCTGGGCTCCAGCCTGGGTGTCTCACTTCAAGCTCTGTCCCCACAGCTGCAGTTCTCGGAGGTGCTGGTGAAGTGGAAGAGGTTCTTCCACCAAATGGCTGCAGAGCAAGGCCAGGCTGGGCGGGCAGCACTGGAGATGAAGCTGGAGGTGGAGAAGCTGCAGGTGAGGCGGGTGATGGCTGAGGGAGGAGGCTGTGCTGCTGGGAATGTTCTCTTGGTAGCCGGTGGCTGTAGAAGTCATGAGGCAGCTGTGGCCTGTGACACCTCTGAGCCTGGAACAATAAGGCTCTGTAGGCCCTTGCACTGATGCTCTATTTGGTGGCAGGAGGCCCTGGCCAACCTCGGTGTCGTGACCAAGGCAGAGAGCCAGCACTGGTTCACAGGCGAGAACCTAGGCATGAGCGGGTAAGCTAGGTGGGGGCACTGGGGGTCCTTGTTCCCATTCATGGGGCAGCAGCACAGGGAGGTCTCCAAAGGTCTGCACTGGCTCAGCATGGTGACCAGGCAGAGAGGAGGTTTGGGTGGAGGTGGCAAGATGGGTCAGGGTGATACACCTGGCTTGCTGGTGGGGGTCAGGACCCTTGCCCCTGCAAGACACCAGTATGGACCTGGCTGTCTGCTTCCAGCACTGTGGACCTGCTGGACTGGAACAGCCTGATTGACAGCCGCATGAAGCTCTCCAAGCTGCTGCTCGTCCCTAATATGAAGGTAAGTACCCACCTCTGCCACCCCTGGCACGGCCCTGCACAGAGGGCAGTCTGTCCCTGTCTCTTGTAGCTCCTGCAAGTTTAAGGTGCCACAAGGACTCATCCCTCTGGGGAGTTTGCGTCCTCCCTACCTTTGGCTGCCAGCATGGGTCTCCCTGGTGCAGGTTTGTCTCCTGTGGGCAGTGGTGGCTGCGAGTGGACAGAGTGTCACAGGCTGTTCTCATTTCAGACCAGGCAGCTCGAGCCTCTGCTCTCCCGCTTCACCGAGGAGGAGGATCTGCAGATGAAGCGGATGCTGCAGAGGATGGACATCCTTGCCAAGGTCAGGGGGTGCTGGGGCTGGGGGCTCAGGCACTGGTGCCACTGCAGAGAGGGAGGGTGGCCCCACCAGACCAACCTGCTTGTTGTTCACCTCCCACCACCCCCCAGAGAGCCACAGAGAAGGGTGTGAGGCTGATGGTGGATGCAGAGCAGAGCTACTTCCAGCCGGCCATCAGCCGGCTCACCCTGGAGATGCAGCGCCGCTTCAACAGGGATCGAGCCATCATCTTCAACACCTACCAGTGCTACCTGAAGGTGAGGGCCAGCAGGAGGGACCTGCTGGAGCAGCTGGATGGAGACCTTTTCCCCTGAAGCCATGGCAATGCGATGGCACGGTTCTGGGGCTGGCTGCCTGAAGGTGCAGGAGAGATGTGACACTGGTTCCACGACCTTGTGCCATCTCTTCCCTTTGGTCCCAGGAGGCTTATGACAATGTGACTGTGGATGTAGAGCTGTCGCGCCGGGAGGGCTGGCACTTTGGCACCAAGCTGGTCCGTGGTGCCTACATGGAGCAGGAGAGGGAGAGGGCAGCCAAGATTGGCTATGAAGATCCGATCAATCCCACCTATGAGAAGACCAACGAGATGTACCACAGGTATAGGACAGCCACGCTCCTCCCTCCCACCCCACAGCACACAGGCTTGGGCAGCCTCACCATGCAGCCCCATGCTGTCTACAGGTGCCTGGACTATATCCTGGAGGAGATCAAGCGCAGCCAGAAAGCCAGTGTGATGGTGGCATCTCACAATGAGGACACAGTGAAGTTCACCTTGCGTAGGTAGGTGCTGAGAAGGTGACGTGGCTGAGGGCTTGAGGGGGCCCAGCTGAGCTGTGGGGAAATAGGCCATGGTTTGTCAGGTCCTGTGCTCACCTGATGGAATCCTGATTTCCACCTGGTGCTCAGGGCTTCACTTGGGGCTTGGAGCTGGGGCATGACCTCACAGCCCACAGTGGCTGCAGACCTGTCTCCGTGGCCCAGCCCAGAGGCTGTTTTAGAAACAAATCCCTCAAGTCCTCACATCCCTGCATCCAGCTGGGACATGGTCAGTGCTGTGCACTCGTACTCAGGTGATCCCTGCTCCCCTGGTGGGATGTGTTGCCCCTGTATGCTCTGCTTTTTCTGCTGTTCCCTAACACTGAGGCTTGGCTTGCAGGATGATGGAACTTGGGATCCATCCCTCAGAGAAGAAGGTCTGCTTCGGCCAGCTCCTGGGCATGTGTGACCAGATCACCTTTCCCCTTGGTGAGTGCTGGGAGCACGACGGACTTGGCAGACCTTGTCCCCTGGGGTTTCCCTGGGCAGCTGCTCTGTGGTCTGAAGGATGGATGGACCCAGGTCCTGGTTCTGACAGAGTGACTGGCTGAGCATGGTGCCTTGGTGCCTCTTCCCTAGATGGGTGGAGTGCTGTAGCCCCTGCCTGGGGTTGGGGGATGATGGAGATGGAGAATCACATCAGTCTCCTGAAGACTGATGGCTGGGTAGGAAGATTCCTGCTTTGGCCTATGAGCTGAGATGGTGCTCCTAGATGGGGCAGAGATGGGTCCTGGCTGCAGCAAACCCCTCTTGCACTTCCTTGGTTTGGAAGCATCACTTTGACCCTCCAGAGGTGCACACTGAGTACTGGGCTCTCTACTTACTCTTGAGTGACCTTGCTTTCTCCTCTGCTGGTGGCCTGGGCACTGGAGCAGAGCTCCCAGGGGCCCAGACAGAGAGACATTCAAGAGTAAATAGCCCAGCTCAGGTCAGGAGTGATCCCCCTGCCCACGCTGGTATCTGGAGTGGAGATTTAAGGCCAGTAGGGCTGTGGGAGGCAAACCAGGCAGTTGTCCAGCATGGATACTGCTCTGTTCTGGAGCTCCCCTTGCAAGTGGGATTTGGCTGCCTGTCCACAACCTCCTCTGCTCATGCTAGGAAAATGCGTTAACATGATGTTTCTGCTTGAATGCTTCTTGAATTGGCCCAGCCCTGTCTGTGGACATTCCCAGGGCTCCCAGTGACCTCAGCCTGCTCCCCTTGGTGCGTTCCCAAGCTCCCCATGCTGATGGGAGAGGGATGTGCCTCTGCTTCCCCTCCCGGGTGCTGAGGCACAGCCTGAGGCCCTGCAGCCCCCCTGCCCCCCTCCCTAGGCTCCACCAGCACAGCCCCAGGCCTGTGGAAGAGCTGGGGGTCACCATCCCTGCAAGTGTTCCAAAGAAACACAGGTGTGGTGCTTAGGGACAGGATTCAAGCACTGAACAGGTAGATTAGGTTATGGTTTGTGGATTTAGGTTATGGTTGGACTTGATGATAATCAGGGTCCTTTCCAACCAGGGTGATTGGGGAGGGGGGCAGCGAGGCTTTTCCCATCTCTTTGTTCTTTCTCTATGCTGTTTTTCCCCTTTCCTGTCACTTCCCTGACTATGCTGCTTTCCCCTAGGCCAGGCTGGTTTCCCTGTCTACAAGTACGTGCCGTACGGCCCGGTGAATGAGGTGCTGCCCTACCTGTCCCGGCGGGCCCAGGAGAACCGGGGCTTCATGCAAAGGGCCAACCGGGAGCGGGACCTGCTCTGGAGGGAGGTGAAGAGGCGGCTCCTCACTGGCAGCCTCTTCAGTCCCAGCCACTAACCCCAACCGTGGTGCCCTGCCCAGGGCTCTTGTGCCTTCACCAACAACCCCTATTGCTGGTCCCTATCCTGATTCTGCTGTAGTTCCCCCACCCCCGTGCCCTTCGTCCTGGGAGGAGACATTTTTGCCTCCTTTGCTGTTTGAACCTTCTGGAGGTGACTGCTGTAGGGTTGTTCCAGAGCTGACACTGCCCCTAAGAATGTCCCTCTGCTGTCCCAGGGGCTTTTGAGCTGCACTTGCCCTGGACTGTTTCAGGGGAGATGCTGGGGCTCCTCTATCAGTCCCCCCACACCTCCTTGAATGCTGTCCCGCGGTTTTGCCCTTGCAGGATTGCACAGGGAGGTCCAGGGTGGGATGGGGGGCTTGGGGACAAGGTAGCCTCAGACAGAAGCTCTTCCAACCTCTGTCGTGGCTGGGGCTTGGTCTCTTCCAGTTCCATGGAGGCAGAAGCCAAAGCAGAGGCCACAGTGAGCTGAGGAGGGTCTCTGGGCAGGGGCAGTATCTGTCCCCACCACCTCTCCCAAGGCAGCCACTTCCACTACTCACCAGCAGGCTCTCCTCGACCCCAGCAGACTAAACAGAGCCCAGGGTTGTCCACCCTGGGGCAGGAGGGGTGAGGGGAGCTGGCTGGCCTCATCCCCAAGCTGTTCCTGTCCTGGTTGTGATCCCCAGCTCTGATGCTGGACCAGGGGTGCTGGAAGCACCAGCAGCCAGACCACGGCTCCTCTCTGTCAGACACTGGATTTGCTGAGAAGGTTGATGATTAAATCATAACTGTTCTTGCTCCTGTGTTTCTCTGGAGTTACTGGTCAGCTTGTTTGCCTGTCCTGGGCTCCAAGTAGGTTAGTGTGAGCTCTCAGCCCCCTCCAACTGCACACTTTGGCCTAGACCAGGACTTGGGGAAAGGAGACAGAGTGTACCAAGTGAGGCCAAACTTCCCCAGGTCTAGGGATGGAGCAGTTTTGAAGCTGTCTGGGATGGACCTGGCAGGAGCTGGGAGCCCTGGAGCATCCTCAGCTGCTCTCAACACCTTCCTGCTTGCAGATGAGTTGTGTGTGTGGCCCACACCCCAGCTTTGTTTTTGGGGGACATGCACCCTGCAGGCTTTTACTGCTTCAAATTAGGGTCAGTTTCTCCTGGGCTTGTTTTGAGCTCAGCAGGACCAAAAACATCTCTGGGCTTCCCTGCCTGGCAGCCACTAACCCCAACCGTGGTGCCCTGCCCAGGGCTCTTGTGCCTTCACCAACAACCCCTATTGCTGGTCCCTATCCTGATTCTGCTGTAGTTCCCCCACCCCCGTGCCCTTCGTCCTGGGAGGAGACATTTTTGCCTCCTTTGCTGTTTGAACCTTCTGGAGGTGACTGCTGTAGGGTTGTTCCAGAGCTGACACTGCCCCTAAGAATGTCCCTCTGCTGTCCCAGGGGCTTTTGAGCTGCACTTGCCCTGGACTGTTTCAGGGGAGATGCTGGGGCTCCTCTATCAGTCCCCCCACACCTCCTTGAATGCTGTCCCGCGGTTTTGCCCTTGCAGGATTGCACAGGGAGGTCCAGGGTGGGATGGGGGGCTTGGGGACAAGGTAGCCTCAGACAGAAGCTCTTCCAACCTCTGTCGTGGCTGGGGCTTGGTCTCTTCCAGTTCCATGGAGGCAGAAGCCAAAGCAGAGGCCACAGTGAGCTGAGGAGGGTCTCTGGGCAGGGGCAGTATCTGTCCCCACCACCTCTCCCAAGGCAGCCACTTCCACTACTCACCAGCAGGCTCTCCTCGACCCCAGCAGACTAAACAGAGCCCAGGGTTGTCCACCCTGGGGCAGGAGGGGTGAGGGGAGCTGGCTGGCCTCATCCCCAAGCTGTTCCTGTCCTGGTTGTGATCCCCAGCTCTGATGCTGGACCAGGGGTGCTGGAAGCACCAGCAGCCAGACCACGGCTCCTCTCTGTCAGACACTGGATTTGCTGAGAAGGTTGATGATTAAATCATAACTGTTCTTGCTCCTGTGTTTCTCTGGAGTTACTGGTCAGCTTGTTTGCCTGTCCTGGGCTCCAAGTAGGTTAGTGTGAGCTCTCAGCCCCCTCCAACTGCACACTTTGGCCTAGACCAGGACTTGGGGAAAGGAGACAGAGTGTACCAAGTGAGGCCAAACTTCCCCAGGTCTAGGGATGGAGCAGTTTTGAAGCTGTCTGGGATGGACCTGGCAGGAGCTGGGAGCCCTGGAGCATCCTCAGCTGCTCTCAACACCTTCCTGCTTGCAGATGAGTTGTGTGTGTGGCCCACACCCCAGCTTTGTTTTTGGGGGACATGCACCCTGCAGGCTTTTACTGCTTCAAATTAGGGTCAGTTTCTCCTGGGCTTGTTTTGAGCTCAGCAGGACCAAAAACATCTTTGGGCTTCCCTGCCTGGCAGTTGCTTTGTCCCTAGGTTCCCTCTGCTTCTGGCAAATCACTCAAGCCAAAGGGATAAAGTTCCAGTGCCTGAAAGGTCTACAAGAAAGCTGGGGAGGGGCTTTTTACAAGGGCACAGAGTAATAGGTCAAGGCAGAACAGTTCCAAACAGAAAGAGGGGAATTACAAGTTTAGACATTAGGAAGAATTTCTTTCTGTGAGGGTGGTGAGACACTGGAACAGGTTGCCCAGGAAAGCTGTGGCTGCCCCAACCCTGGAAGTGTTCAAGGTCAGGTTGGATGGGGCTTGGAGCGACCTTGTCTAGTGGAAAAACTAGATGATCTTCAAGGTCCCTTCCAGTCCAAACCATTTTATGAGTGTGAGTTTAGGCTCTCCAGAGATGTTCACTTGCTGTCTTCTTTAGCTAAGACTCCCATGCCTTAAAAAACATCTGGAGGAGCAGGGAGCACAGCTGGAGCATGGGACCAGGGCTGATGGTGTTTAGAAGAAGGCAGTGGCCAGGCTCCTGATATTTTGGGATGGAGCAGAGCTGCATTTCTGGCAGCAGGCTGCCTCTGCAGCTCATAGGGGATGCTGTGGCCATGGTGAGCACTGTGCCCACAGCCTGGGCTCTGCCCTGTGCCCGCAATTGGAGCAGAATGCAGGAGCAGCCATCGCCTGCTGTGGGCTTCTGCAAAGACCCCCAGGTGCATGCCTTGCTGTTGCAGGAGCAGATGCTGTAGCTTTCATGGTAGCAGCTTCATGTATCTGTACATGGCCCCTCTTGATCCCACTTCTTTGGATGTAATGCCCTCCCCAGCCCTCTTTCCCGGACAGGAAGGACTGCAGCTCCACAATATGCCACTGCAGGGACTGTGTATGAGTGCTGTTAGGGTGCTGCTTCCCATCTACCCAGGGCCCCCTAGATCCCTGTGTTCCCAGCAACCTTTATCCTTACTCAGCCAAAAAACAGCAACCCCACCTTTTATTTCTGGGTGCGTTGACCCAATACAACCCTCTCAAGCTTTCCCCACCCTGGTCAGCATTGCCTCTTACTACTGGAAGCTGTTTTCTGCTTGTCCTGAAGGAAGGGGTGGCATGAAGTTCTTGCCCCTGCTGTGGCATGCTTACTTGCAAGGCTGCTGGCTGCTGCAGCACAGGGATTTGGAAGAGGAAACATCCCACATCCTTGCAGCAACCATCTCAGCAGCCTTGCTCTTAAATGCCATGGCAGGGGCTTCTTCCAAGTGGCAGAGCCTGGCCATGTCCCAACAGGATGGTGACTGCTACCTCTTATCATAGGAATCCCCACTGAAACTCCTGCCTGCTGAAAGAGCTGCAGGGATTTCTGAACCACTCACAAAACATGATTTTCCTTAGCTTCATGTGCAGAAATACTGTGCTGTTGGGTTTCTTTTTTCTTTGATACTTTCCAAAACATGGTTCAACAGGAGACAAGGACCTGGCAGGGCGTTTCCTGCCTGAAGTCTAAAAAACAAAGTGCAAACAGTGTTGGGATGGAAAGCCTCAAGCCGTGCTCACAGGATGCTGTGAGCTCACAGGCAGCAGCCTCACTGGGACCAGAGTGGGAGGCAGGATGGGTGACTGACACCCCTGGTACGTGCAGTCCCCCAGCACTGGCAGCACCAGCTGGCCCAGGCCATGCCACCACTGGGCACCATCAATCCTCCACTTGCCTCCTCCCTGTGGCATCCTCATTCTCCAGCATACACATTCTCCAGCCTCTGGCTACCAGCTGAGGGGCCAGCTTATCTCCCTGGCTACTAGCCAGCCCAACTGCTGCCCTGGTGTGGGTTTGACGTGGTGAAAATGGAGCAGCCCAGGAAATGCTGCTGGGAGGAGCTGCTTATGGAAGACAAGAAAACACCCAAAAGCCAACGCATCCTTGTACAAAGCAACAGTGTGAGATGTGCATGGTGGTGCCCTGGCTTGTCGGGAGCAGGGTGGAAGAGCACCAGGTGGGAGGTGATGGAGACACCAGATAAGAAGGAAATCCTGGTTATGGAAACAGCTGGAGCTAAGCCAAAGCTCCAGGTGGGCACAGCTGTGGCTGCAGAGAGGCACACCGGGAGAGGACCCCAGCCCACCTTCCTGCCTAACTTTAGAGTTAACCCTTCTACATCCAGCTTTCTTAGAGGGAAAAGGAGGCTGGGCTCAGCCTGGGACTGAGGGTGATCCCAAGGGAGCTCCTGCTGCCTCAGCACAGTCAGGCTACCATGGTCTTAGCATTC